GACCAAAAATGGTTGGACTCGAACCCGAGACCTCTGGCTCAACCTCTGGCTGTGCAGCAAACACTCTACCAATGAGCTACGCGACGTGTATCCGATCGCCGTCAGGCTAGGGCTTTATCCTTTACTGTTCTGGCTATGAGCTTCATTTGGAGTTAGACAGTCTAGTCAAACTATTGGGTTGGTGGAAAAATTCTTTCCGATTTTTTGGGAGAGTACCTTAAATTTGTCCAATTTTGACGTTTTATAGCTCAAAAAAAACTAGAATAACGAGATGGATCGATTGGTAAAAACGCGTTTTGAGATATCTCTTTTCTAAAAGACACCATTTTTCGTCACCTGCCACTATCCGAGGAATAAATCGACGATCCTGACCGCGGGTTTTCATGTGCCTATCTCTACGTGAATGTGAAGTCAAGGAAAGAATGGGCTGACTCCGATCAACAAGCAACTCCAAGGGTAAAGCAGAACTTCACCCAAAAAGACAATCTGTGTGTTTGTGGGACCATCAGGGCATTCTCAACAAAAAAGATAAACGATAGGAAATCGCGAAAAGCGGCGGAAAGGCTATTGATCTGAGGGTCGCTGGTTCGACTTCCACCGGTGACAATATTTTTCAAAAATTTTTTGCTAAGATTCTGAAAATGCGTGTCTAGGGGTTATTTTTGACGCTGATCACGAAACACATGTTTTTAGCCTAGGTTTCTGCACGGAAAACTAACGAAACGTGAAAACAGCCATTTTTTGGCTCTGCCGCCCTTTACTAAAATAGTTGTAAAAACATTTAGAAAAGAGATATCTCAAAACGGTTTTTACCAATCGATCCGTCTTGAATTCAGCTTTAGGATGAGCTATAAAACGTCAAAAATTGAACAAATTTAAGGTACTCTCCCAAAAAATCGGAAAGGGCTTTTCCATCAACCCAATAGATTGACTAGATCTAGATTTCTCAAGATCTGTCATAAGCCATTCCTCATGACTTTACTGATTATATGGCTCTGTCAGCAACTATTTAGCAAGCAACGATTTGTCAGCAACAAATCGATTATTCAGTCATCCATCCAAGTCAGTTTAAGGCATCCAAGCCATTCCTTTAACCTATACTATTTCCAAATCTAGAGTTCTTCCGATCTAGAGTTCTTCAAACTAGACTAAACGATTACTATTACTCCTCCCAGAAAACAAGAGCTTAAACTTTGTGCAGTTGATCGAGATTCCTTCATTTCCATATCTCTTTTCCAATTTCGGGGAACACATTCGTGAAAAACCAGCATCAAAACCAGCGCCAACGGGAAAAGATCGAATCCTTGGCCTCCCGACAAGATACAGGCCTCAGCCACTCGGCCATGACCAGGCTTTAAAGATTCCAGTTATCCCCGCTTCACTTGTAGATGTAAGAAAGCAAAAGCAAAATCAAGCTCAATGAGCTCAATAATTCAATGATCCAGATTCCTTCATTTCCATATCTATTTTCCAATTTCGGAGAACACATTCGTGAAAAACCAGCATCAAAACCAGCGCCAACGGGAAAAGCTCAAATCCACCAGAAGTCATCATTCTTTTTTTTCTTTCCATCGAATTGTGAAAAGTCCAGATTGTTCGCAGTCGAATTCGGGCAGGTTTTTCCCCTAAAAAGATATTCATAGGGAAATATTTTAGAGAAACGAGAAAAAGAGACGCTCCGTCATGCAAATTTCCCACCCATCTTTCTCTTTTCTTTTTTCCATTTCTCTGTCCGCTTCGCAACAATGGCTGTCGGTATGGGACTGGTTCTTTGCCTCTGTTCGCGTGTCTTTTTCTAAGAAGACTGTCAGATTGAGATTGAGAAGAGAACTTATGTTGGTACACTTTGGGTTCATAAATTGGAAATTTCAAATAGAGTTTTTTAAAGCGCATCTTTTGATGTAAAAATGAGCTTGATTCGCTGAGAAACTCGTGTTCTTTGTGCGGCCCCGCAATCACTCACCACCTGGCCAACGGCTTTTCCATATACCCCGGGAAGTCGTTTCGATTTCGGTTAGAGTTTTTCAAGGCGCATCTCTCGATAGAAAAATGAGCTTGATGCTTGGAGAAACAGCCGTCTTGTGTTCTTTGTGCGGCCCCGCAATCACTCACCACCTGGCCAACGGCTTTTCCATATACCCCGGGAAAGTCGTTTCGATTCGAGTTGTCTCCTGGATCTGATCTTGGCAGGTCTGGTAACCAATCCTGTTATAACCAATGATTGGGTCCTGACCAATGATTGGATTTGGTTAAGAAAAGAGTTTTGTTTCTTGTTCAACTAAGGCTGCTAAAGATCTTGACTAAACACTATTCCTTTCAACTTTTCTCAGAACCAAGTTCTATCATATATGTTTGATTCTTCTCCTTTCCCCCCATTTCTTCTGTATGCACATCCGTTTTATCTCAAGCGTTTCCCCCCTTTTTTCCTTTTCCTTTTCCTTTTCCTTTTCCCCGTCCGTCTCCCGCGTGAGCTTTTTGGTGTGCTCTCCGTGAATTTTCTTTGCGCGCACCCTTCAGCTCTTTCATTTCTATGTTTGTCGAAAAGAACGGGATCCTGTGCAAGAATTTTTCTGCATTTTCCAAAGAGATAGTGTGGATTTTGTCGGAAAGACTTTTGATTGAGATCCCCGGATGAATCTATCCATTTGAATGAATCTGGATTGGTGGAATGGCTTTTGAAAGAGGAAAAAGAAGAATGGATTTCAAGTTTTGACAGGAAACATTTGAATAAGTTGATTATTTTTTGGGTTTTAGGGATTGAGAGGCAAAAAACTTGAAGCTTATTTTTATGTAAGCTTCAAATCTTGTCAAAAATCTTGAAGCTTTGATTTTTCCCCGCATACTTTACAAAAGAAACTCGATTTTTCAGCTAAAATCCAGATCGAAATTCGAATTGCTATATATATTTGAAGCTGAGATTTTTGGGGAGCATTTCTATACCTAAAAAATCTTGATCAGAGCCATCATTCTAATCTACAAAGAAGCCTGGTAGTGCGCTGTCGCTGTAACTTTGACTGCTGTAATCAGAACTTGAATTACGGTCGATAGATCTAATCATGATCGATAGATCCTGACGAATTGATAGATCTAATCATAGATATTATAGATTATCCTTGCTGAAGCTCATCTGCATAACTTGCAAAAGTCGCACAAGTCAAACTAGCACTTGTGGAGTCATAGGACACGTACAAGTGTGTGGATCAAGTGTTTGATCAAGTATTTGATTGAAGCTTTCAGATCCTTAGCTGTAGCTGTAGCTATCAGTCTTCGCTTTTGTACAGATAACTATAAAAAGACGATAAAAGCTTGTGCAAGCGATGCTTCGAACCGTTCTCCTCAAAAATCCCCACTTTTTACACACACACACACAACAGCATAGAAAACCCGGGCTTTTTTTCTCTCACCCATTTTTCTTCTCCCGTCCAATTCGCTCATGGTGGACGAGGGAATTGAAGGGGACCCTGCTAGCTATACGACCGGTCTTGCCGCCAAGCCAAAAACGAAAAAGAAAGCAAAAAGAAACGGGGATTCCCATTTTTCTCCCCATTTCCCCATTTCCCATTTTCTCATTTCTCAATTCTCTTCATTTCACGCACTCTTTTTCGACGTTCTTTCTCCGGCATTTTTCGATCAAAATCTGCAATCTCCTCAAATTTTCCCCTATTTCTCCGTTCTTTCCCTCACTTTTGCGAAAAAAGAAAGCGAAAGCGAATTCACAAAAAGCGTGTGTGTGTGTGTATCGTGAAAAATCCTCTAAAATTCTCCGTCTCTCGCCTCAACTCTTTCTCTCAAATTTTTTCGTGATCTTTTCCCCCCACGAGTCCCCAGTTTTTCAGGGATCCCGTGAGCACTTTTCTCTTCTCTTTCCTCTTCTCTTTCCTCTTTTCTTTCCTCTTTTGCCCGTTCCTCCATCTTTTTTCTCCATCCCCTTTCCCAGTCACAGCCTTTCCCCCCCCATCTCCTCCTTTTCAGTTAGTTCTTCTACCAGCCGGCGTCACCCCCCGCCGCTTACACGCTGGCGTCGACGAATCACCCCGGGCCCCCGCCAGGTAATTCATAACAATTAAATAATAATCTGAAAATCTGATTCACCAAATTTTTCTGAGCATTTTGATACTGATTTTGTGGAGATGAAGAATGCCAAATCTTGGCAATTGATGCTTTGGTACTAGATTTAATGGACGCAAATCTCGGCAATTGATGCCAAATCTTGGCAATTGATGCCAAATCTCGGCAATTGATGCCAAATCTCGGCAATTGATGCCAAATCTTGGCAATTGATGCCGAGATTTGGCAAGAACTGTTTATTTGCGCAATTTTTATCTGCCAAAACAAGATTTACTATGTTTTCTGGTAGAAAAGCGCTTAAAATTTGATTTCTGTCAGGTACAAGAGGGCTTAAATCTATCAGTCTTCTGTCAGTCTTAAGCTATCGTCCATTAAATCTAGTACCAAAGTTTTCTTTGAATTGCTGGATCACTGAGAACCCTTGAAACCGGGTTTACTTTGTGATTTTTGAGCGAATTTCATTCTTCAACCAAAATCTTAAGCTTTAAATGTGATTTTGCTTTACTAAATCGCTTTTTTTACGTTTTTACTAAAGCATTTTATGTAGAAAGTCTTTTCGACTCACTTTTCGAGACTTTTCGACTCACTTTCTCTATCCATTCAATCGATTTCAACATACCAAAGCCAGCTAGTTTGATCTAGTCATCTAGTTCAACATCAGCAATCTATTTTCCAATCGAAACTTTCCAAATTCCCACAATGAAAAGCTAGATTGGACTTGTTTCCAAAAGAATCTTTGTTATTTTCCTTTTTCTCTTTTCCTTTTCCTTTTCCTCAACCCGTTTCCCCGTATTTTTCATGAATGTTAAAACGTCAACAAAAGTGCAAATCTGCTTAGGCCAATGCCTAGTCATGGCCTAGAAAAACACAATCACAAAAACACAAGCAAAGACTAAAGAAATCGTCCTCTTTTCTTTTTCAATCAATTTTCAATGAATGTTCTTTCAGGTCTTCCAATAAACGGTTCAACGACGAATCAAAATCAGACCACGAACGCCATTCCAAACGTCAATCATTTGCTGTTGTCGTTGGTAAGTTAAAAACATTTCTAGTACACTCAAGTCTTCAGTTCAGTGCCCCAGAAAGACTGTGTTTACAAGTTTTTACCAAAACTATATCCAATTCTTGTTAAGATTTGAAGGGAATCCTTGCTTTAGCTTTTTTTTAACCTCAAACAGATTCACTTTATATCTCTTTCTTGCAAAATTCTCTCAAAATCCAATCTTCAAAAGTTCTCTTATTTTCAAAAGCTTTGAAAACAAAGCTTTTATAAAAAGCTTTCACGTTTCTTTCGATTCTTTTCCCCCGTTCCCATCTGGTCAATCATTTTTCCTATGCAAATCTTTGTTGATTAATCTGCTTCCCCGTTTTTTCCATTTTTTTTCCTCCAATCCCAAATTTCGGCGAGACGGAAACAAACAAAGAAAGCAAATTTTTCGTTTGTGACGTGCAAGCAAGTGATCCATCTGTTGAGGCAAAGTTTTCATTGGGTTTTTCATTGGCTAGTTTGGGTTTTGAAAGTCGGAATGAATCGATCAATCTTAGCTTATCAAAGTTTTGAGCTTATCAAAGTTTATTAAAAACAAGAATCACATCAAAATCAAAAGATTTACAATAAGATTTCTTTGATTTTAAGGTTTAAAGAACTCAAATGGCACTAGATTCGTACTAGATTTTGAAATTATTGAGTGAAATCGAGTCGAACAAAGTTTCGAGCTTTAAGAGTTGAGTCGTGCAATATTCAAGCTATCTGAGTCATCTAGATGCTTCTAGATCGTCACCTAGGTGCCTCTAGATCGTCATCGATAGAATCATCTAGATCTAGACACATTTCAAAGCCATTTTCAAAAGCTTGACTAAAAGATTTGTAAGATCTGATGGTTTTAAAGCATTTTCTGACCTGTTCACCATCTCATTCTCGTTCTCTTTGAAGTTGAAAGAGAATGAGAATGAGAATGAGAATGAGAACGAGAATAAGAACGAGAACGAGAATGAGAATGAGAATGAGAACGAGAATAAGAACGAGAATGAGAACGAGAATGAGCTGATGGTTGTTGAAATGAGAATGAGTTGTTGAAAGTTGGAAGAGAACGAGAATGAGAATGAGATGGTTGTTGAAAGTTGAAAGAGAACGAGAATGAGCTCAACTTCAAACTTGAAGCCATCCAAACAGCTCTATTTCCTTCAGTTTTACCCTTTTCCAGAATTGAAACTTCTGAATGAACTCCTTTCTTTAAATCAAATCAAATCAAATCCAAATCCAATTATTTCTAGAAAATCTTGAATCACCAGCTCTCTCCAGCTTAAAAATCATCATCTTTCAATCAAAAATCTCACAGTTATTCCACATCCCACAGTTTTCCCTTTTAACTCTATTATTTAACTTTATTAACTCACATTTCAGCTTTTATCACTTACCAAATAAAGAAGAAATCATCAAAAGCTATTGTATTCATTTCCTGAAAACTTGAAATAAGATTGAAAATTTTCTCGGAAAAGTTCAAGAGTTCTTTGTCCTCAAGAGAATTTCCTTTCCCTGATCATTCCTTTATTATGCCATTTTCAAGGTTACTTCTCCATTTTCTATAAAAAAAATTTGACTTTTCCCTCAAGAGAAATTCTCCTTTGGTAGTAAAATCAGCCCGAGGGAAATAAGATGAAAATTTGGGATGAAAATTGGGATGGAAATTTGGTAGAATCTCATTTCACAACTCAACCATTCAAATGATTTTCCAGCTACAACATCAACAGCAACAACAGGCTTTGGCCGCCGCCACACAAGCTGCACAGCAACAGGTGAAAGCTTTGATTCATTTGACAAATTTGATTATGAATTTGATAGCTTCAAAGGAAAGCTTTCAAGCTTGAAAGCTTAGCTGCTTACAATGAGATATTCAATCTCATAGATAAACCTATAATTGTAGAATACTTATTGTTTTTTTTCGTTAGAAATCTAGAATCAAGACTATTCTAAGCAATTTCTTATAGAAAAGTTTAGTTTGAAAGTTTTGTTTTGATTTTACTCAGTTTATAAATCAAATCTAGATTAGATCTAGACTTAAAGCTATATTTGATAAAAGTAAGAAGCTCTAGCTGCTCTAGCTCTAGCTGGCTGCTCTAGCTGACTGCTCTAGCTCTAGCTGACTGCTCTAGCTCTAGCTGGTTGCTCTAGCTCTAGCTGGCTGCTCTAGCTGGTTGCTCTAGCTCTAGCTGGTTGCTCTAGCTCTAGCTGGCTGCTCTAGCTGGCTGCTCTAGCTCTAGCTGGCTGCTCTAGCTGGTTGCTCTAGCTCTAGCTGGCTGCTCTAGCTGGTTGCTCTAGCTCTAGCTGGCTGCTCTAGCTCTAGCTGCTCTATCTAGCTTACAATTTTAGAATTGCTTGATCAATGCTGACATTTTTAGCCGTACTAGGCTCTTGCCAAGATTCATTTTATTCTTTTTAAATCCTTTTTTCAGGCAGTTGCAGTTCAGGCGGTCCAACAGCAGTCGAATGGCGACGGCGGGTGGCGAGCGGGCGATGTGGGCGCCACGCTAAGGGGCATTCAGGGTTTATTGCCCACACAAGTGAGTCAAAAGATTTGGAAAATTATATAGGAATTCTGTAGCAAATCGCATACAGTATATACTACTTTCATAAAAATAGTGTTCAAAAGATGAAAGATCTCTTTCAGATGCCCACACCAGGCAATCACCACAGCGATCCAATGAACGGTCCACCGTGCAAGGCTTGCACAGAGTGTCGACAGCTAAGAAAGTGAGTTGATTATTAGCTAATGCAGCTCAAGTTTTACTAATTACAGTATTAGTTACAGTAAACGAGCTTTCCCATATGTACATTTGAATCTTCTTTTCTTTTTTTGTTTTTTCCTTGACGATCAATCTATCTATATACTTTTTCTTGACAAGTTCACAAAAAAAAGTATTTTCTTTTCTTGTTTTTATCTAATTTGAGCTTTTTTCTCTTTTGTATATCAAAATTTGAAAGCTTTTTTTCCTAATCTTTCCCTTGGCAACCGAATTTCTTTTTGACCAGTCGTTTATTTTGTAGTCATCTCAAATCCTCAAAATCTCTGTAGAGATTTTCGTATAGATCTAATTAGAAATTGAAGAGATTGGTGAGAAATTTTGCAGGGAAACGATCAACTACGTTGAACTTTTAAAAGATAAACAAGTTTAAACAAGTTTAAACAATTTTAAACGATACAGTTGAATAGAAACTTGCTTAAAACGAAACTAGAAATATTTAAAAGAAGGTAGAAGGCTACAGGAATCTTTTGCTAACTAAAAAGTACTCTAAACTGTACTGGAAACTGTACTGTAAACTGTACTGGAAACTGTACTGTAAACTGTACTGGAAACTGTACTGTAAACTTGTCTTGTCATTATAATCTACCTAAAGAAGCTATTCAGCTTACTGGATTGAATTCGTTGAACAAGGTCAGTCTCAAGACCTGATCCTAGCTCTTTACAGTACTTAAAAACTTAAGTTAAAGTTAGCTTAAGTTTTTAAAAACTATTTCGAACTCTTTAAAGCGAAGATTCAGTTGTAGCTTATTCACTAGTTGTGGCTATGACTTATTCACCTTATTCACTAGTTGTAGCTATGACTTGCCAAGCAATCAACCACCAAGCAAATCAACCATCTAGTCTGTCATTTGCTATGTTTCGAAACGATTCCTAAACTGAACTCTTTCACAAACCATTCCTAGAAAAGTCTAATGACCTCTTTATCTGTCGATTTCTTTCTATTTCTTTGCATTTCTTTGCATTTCTTTCCCTATTTCTTTCTATTTCTTTCCATTTCTTCCCACGGAACGCATAGTTTACCCCGAAAATGACCTTGAATCGAACTTTTTTCAAATCAAACCCATCTCTTGCAAAAAGAAACACAAATCTTTTCCCATTTCTTTCTCTTTTCTTTCTCTTTTCTTTCTTTCTCTAACTTTGCCCCCATCTCAGTGAACTCTTCGACTTTGAGGATCGTTTTGTCTAACGGTTTTTTCTACAACCTTTTTTTTTGACTCAGAAAAACAAATATAATATAGTAAAGAGGAAAAAGAGGAAATAGAGTTCTTGAAAAGCAAAAGAAATAGAAAATCAAAAGAAATAGAGAATCAAAAGATCTTATTGACTTGAGTTGTTGGTGTTCTTTGAGCTAGAGCAGCTAGAGCAGCAGGCTCTAGCTGAGCTGCTCTAGGTATTCAATTCAAAAAGGTATTCAATTTTAAATTCATTTTCAAATTCAAAATCTAGAGCTTTAGCTTGACAAGGAGGAACTAAATTTACAAGAAGTTTAGACAAAAACGTTTTGATAACTTCTTACAAGTTAGCTCAAAGAAAGTCCACAATTTTAGCCATCTTTCCATCAAAATCTGTCACCAATTACATCTTTTATACTACTATTTTATTCTTTCTTTTCTTCTATTCTACTACTTCCTTCTACTTCCTTCTACTTTCCTTTTTCTTTCATTCTATTCTTCGTGTTCCTTTGATAGATCTCTTCTCCAGGCCAATCGGCTTCTCAATGCATGATGCCCATGTGATGGGTCTCTTGGACCTCTTGGTCTTGGGTCTCTTGGTCTCTCTCGTTTCCCATCTCTTCTCAAAGAGTCGTTTTCATGTATCTTGTGTTCTTTCTCTTCAAGGATGACTACTAGTCCAGCCTAGGTCGGAATCCCTTTTGACGAGGCCCCACCTCCATAATGGGGTTCTCTCCCTCCCTTCAGCCCTCTGCGGCCACTGGCTATCGAGAAAAAGTGGCCAAAAGCCGCACACACTACTTTACGATTGCTTTCTCCTTTCCTTTTGCTGTCTTTTCCCCTTTCTGGGTCCTTTGACCAGTGAAAAAGGGAAAAACATTCAGCTCGAAAAACGGAACTACTATAGTGTGAGGGAAAGATCGAAAAAATAATGTTTTGAGAAAATTTGAGATAGTAATAGAGAAAAGGAGTGTTTAGTGTCAGTGAATCCATTTCAGGTGTTTGATTTGGTTGAGCTCAACAAGTTTTATATCTCATTTCTTGGCCTAGTTCTAGAGCAGTTCTAGAGCAGTTCTAGAGCAGTTCTAGAGCAGTTCTAGAGCAGCTCGGCTAGTGCAGTTCTAGAGCAGTTCTAGAGCAGCTCAGGTAGAGCAGTTCTAGAGCAGTTCTAGAGCAGCAGTTCTAGAGCAGCTCAGCTAGAGCCTGCTACTCTAGCTACTCTAGCTGCTTCTAGTTCTATACTTTCTAATACAGTAACCTTTAACTTACAAAGTCTAGGACTTAGCCCAGTGAACAAACAGCCCTAGTCTGACATTTGGATCTGGATCATTTGGATCATTCAGCTGTTAGTAAAGTCCTTTAAGTATTCAATACTTGAAAATAAGCTAATATTTGACGTTTCAAAGAACTTTCAAAGAGTTAAAGTACCCAAATTGTCCTTGTATAGTTCACTCCTTTACAAGGACATCCTTTTCCTCTAGGGCAATCTCCATTCCATTCCATTCCATTCCATTCCTGAAAAACCTCAACAGAACAATAGGTTTCCCATTGCTCATCTCTGATTCCATCTCAATCTCTCAAAAAAAACTTTTCCATAAGAGAAAATAGGAGAACGATTGAAGAGTGGTTGTCCCATCGCTCATCTCTTTCCTTACTCCAATTCTAAGCCCTATCCCTATATATTGTGTGTCTCTTTAGAAGTTCTATCGGTCATGTGTGGGCCTCTTTTTTCTTTAGAATTCTAAAACCCTAGGGATTCTGTCGAATACGGGTAAGAAAAAAAGATGGACCGCTTGAACTGGAGGGGTTTTCGAGAAGGAGAAACTTTGCGATACGGGGATTGGGTGGGAACTAAAACTGCTTCTAAATAAAGGAACTAAAACTCGTTCTAAATAAAGGATCTAAAATAGAGATCTTCTTGAGATCTAAAATAGGTTTCTGATTTGAAAAGCTATTAAAAGTATTAGGAAAAGTTAAAATTAAGGTGTTACATCACTCCTTAGTTACAGAGTAGTTACAGTTACAAGTTACAGAATCCAGTTATTGCTCAGTAAATCGCTAAATGTCACTAGTGCATTAGTGACGCTAAATGTCACTAGTACTCTATATCTTTTAACCAATACTTAGCGCTTACAGTACTAGCTAGCCAATGTAGCCAATGTAACTAGCTAGCTAGCCAGTGTAACTAGCTAGCTAGCTAATGTAACTAGCTAGCTAGCCAATGTAGCCAATGTAACTAGCTAGCTAGCCAGTGTAGCCAATGTAACTAGCTAGCTAGCCAATGTAGACAAGCAATCTAAGCTTGACGTAGCAAACAAGCTAATAAACAAGCTAATAAGCTAATTATCAAGCTAATAAGCTAATAAACAAGCTAACAAGCTTCTACTTTCCAAAAAAACTTCACCAGATTCAAAACCAGCTTTCCAAAACGAAAAGTGAAATCAACACTCCGAAAAGAATAATCGTGGATTAAAGGCTGAAAAACTTGTCTCATTTCTATTCAAAAAAAAACCCTCAAAATACTCCCACACAAACCAAAATAACCAGTTTTCCAATGGGTGATTGTGTTCAGTCAAAAGTGAAAGAATTTTCAACAGTTTGAGGGATTTGAAATATTTTAGAGGTAAAACTGCTGAATAGTCTAATTTATATTAGAGTCTCATTCAATATTAGAGTATCATTCAATTTCCTAGACTCATTATTGAGTTCAAACAATTCACCAAATCATTTCCCAACAAAAGATCGGTGTTATTGTCTAAAATTTTAGAGAAATTTTGGCAAAAAGCCATCAATCATGTGAGGGAAATTGAGAAAATATTGGAAAAAAACTGATTCAAGACTGGACTAGTTTGCGAAAAAGAAAAGAAAAGTGAAAAGAGAACTTTCTAAAGAAGAAATATCCGAAATCGGGTAAACAACTTGGGGAGAAAAACGAAGATCACACTGGGAGATTGTATTAGAAAGTATTCTTGTTTTGGTTTAATTTTGGCATATATTCTCTGTAAGTCGATTTGCTCTTGGGTGTCTTTAGTGTAAAATCTGTAAACAATCTTTCTGATGGAAAGGTGAGAGCCAGGAAGGGTTCGTTTCACATCTTGAGTACAAAGTACAGTGCTTGGACAATCGAGGCTCAGATCCTGATCTCTCGTTTAACTAGTGAGATCTTTGGATTGATTGGATTGATTCTTTGGATTGAGTACCTGGGTTTACTATTGATCCCCCGACTCCTAATCTGGTTTAGCCATGATCTAGCTTTGGCTTGGCTTTGGCCTAGCTTTGGTTTGGCTTTGGCCTGGCTTTGGTCTAGCTTTAGCCTGGTTTTGACTTGGCTTTGGCTTGGCTTTGGCTTGGCTTTGACCTAGCTTTAGCCTGGCTTTGGCTTGGCTTTGGCTTGGCTTTGGCTTGGCTTTGGCTTGGCTTTGGCTTGGCTTTGGTTTGGCTTTGGTCTAGCTTTAGCCTGGTTTTGACTTGGCTTTGGCCTGGCTTTAGCTTGGCTTTGGCTTGGCTTTAGCTTGGCCAGGTCTGGCCTGGTCTGGCCTGGCTTGGTCTAGCCTGCCTTTGGCTTGGCTTTGTCCTGACTAGCCATAACTTTTGGCTTTTTCAAACAAACCCTATCCCTGTCCTTTATAATTCCTACAACTGGAGTGAGATCACTGAAATTAGCACTCAGATTCCCCTCTCCCATCAACCAGACTGACTATTTTCTTCCGGAAATCGCAAAATGAAAATGATAGGTGATATGAAAGCCTAGAACAGTCTTTTCCCCTCTCACAAA